ATGACAGACACAAAGGATGGGAGGGGTTAGAGAGAAGACAAGAAGTGGCACAGAGGGAGGGGAGATACAGGTGGAAGTGTTGGTGAAAGGAATGACAGACACAAAAGAGGGGAGGGGGACAAGAGAGAAGACAGGGGTGTGGTGCATGTATTGAGAGAGAGAGGAGTTATAAGGCTGGTGGTCAGCAACCAGAAAACTCACTTTGTCTCTGAGAACAACTACCACACAGAAACATCAGTCACAATAATAAAAGACACAAAATTGGGGAAAAGGATAAGAGCAAAGACAGGGCATTGTTGTAGAGGAAAGGGAGTCATACAGGTGGTGGTGGGTGGCAAATAGAATCATAGACACAAAACAGGGAAGGGAGAGAAGAACGTAGACGGGGTTGTGGTATAGAGGGGAGGGGGGGGGAGTAATACAAGTGGGAGAGTTGGAAAATAGAATTATAACAGATGTACAATAGGTGAGGGGAAAAACCTGAAAACAGGATGGTGGTGTACAGGGTGTGAAGCCATACATAACAGGTGGGGGAGGGGGGAGGGGAGGCAAACAGAATAACAGACACAAAATAAGGGAGGGGGAGAAGAAGGAAGACAGGGGTATGGCAAACAATCGGGAGAGCTGGTGAAACTTGGAACAACAGACAAATAAACAAGGGAAGCAGGAAGACAGGGATGTTACAAAAAGGGATCGAGGTATGTCACAGAGGTGAGACTGTGGGCAAATAGAATCACATACACAAAATGACACTACATATTATAGAAGGCTCTAGCTTTTATCTGAATCACTATAACTCCTATTAAATGCTACAAAAATGTGACAATAAAATTACCTTGATGAAAAGGTTGAGTATTTTTGTTTCTGTCCTGGATGAAAAAGTATTTCTGCTTGCCATGGTGTTCCTCAGCATAGGAGACATACTTCAAAGCTTTGAGGTGCTAAATTTCTGTCATCTTGTGTTACTAACTGGGAAATAAGTGGAATTGAATGAGACCAGTGAATGCAAATGTAAAGTGTCTACCAACTTTTTTAAATTTATAGGCACGACATTTTGATCCTGAGAGTGCCAGGATTTTTCGTAGGGGTCCGATAATAAGGCAAAGAATGTTCAAAGACGTTCAAAAGAGTTCCAAAGACGTTCCAAAAAGTTCTGTCTAACATGAACATGGGAACACAAAGGAAAACGAACTCACTTCCGGTGACTTTCCTTACTAAAATGAGAGAATTTGGAGAAAGTCGATCATTCACTAGGCTTTTCTTTTCTCTCATTTAATTTCTTTAAATAATTAATTTTAAAAATGTGTCAGTTAATGCTGTAATGGCTCAAACTTTCTGTCAGGTGTGAGAAATTGGAACACAGGTGTGAGATGGAAGTTTTTTATCAGATGACCCCCTGCCCCCCAGGAAAAGCTCCCTCATCTGAAAATGACCCCCCAAGAAAATGGCCAACATTTCCTCACAGGTAATACACAACCAGCCTTTTAGTACTGTACATGTCGACCTACTCAGAGCTGGATTATGTGTAGCTCAGTCAGCAGAGCGCTTGACTGCAGAGTGGAAGGTTGGGGGTTTGATTCCTAGGGCCAGACCAATACTCAGGGTCTTAAAATAACTGAGAAATGAAGGTACTTCCTTTGCCCTGCAAATGGCTGGACCTTCACATGGCTCGGATGACCACATAAAATGGCAGTCCCGTCTCCAGTAGGAGACGTAAAAAAAGTGTCCCCAATTAGTACTCTATACAGTGGCACTCAAATAAAATGCATTTTTTAAAAAAAAAAAAAACATCGTGTTTAACAAAAGTATGCCACTTTCAACAGTGTAGACATGAATTAACACTCACTCCAGTCCACCCTATTATATCCCAAGCACTGACCTACAGTGTGTAAATAAGGCCTACTTCATTTTATAACAAACTCAGTCAAGATCCTCAGCTCTAAAAGTAGTTTCTTTTTGTGCCTTTAAAGGCTTAAAATTGCTGCACAGACTAAGATTTATCGTTTTATCTTACCTGTAACAAGGCCGGATCGAATTCAAGCCTTTAGAGTTTGATCCACTTCAAACGAGCTTTCAATAAGGCACCTTATACTTAAGCAGTTAAATGATCCAGGCATTCAAGAACAAACCTCCAAACTGAATAAGGAAGCCAAAGTTCCCAGTGTTCTTGCAGATTATCATTATTTTAACACAGACGCTAACAACGGGCGCCATCTTGATTTTTTTTTCTTTGGGCCCCAGATTACTCTCTGTCAAAAGTGCTGAAAGTACGTCATGTATGGGCGCATAAAGTAAAGGTCCGGATTAGCAAGTCCCCCTGGCTGTGCCTGGGATGCAGTTTGATTTTGTCTTTTACAGTTTATTAGTTAATTTATCTTTAAAACTTTGATGTGCTACGATGACGGATGTGTTCCAATTTCTATTGTCAAATGACCCTGCTGCAGGAGTACCCGATTGCCATACGCAGTTTTAGGGCCGGCGGGGTGGGGTGGGAAGGGGCTGGAGAAGGGTTAGTGGAATACCAAAATACCCGAAATAAACCTTCCCATATACCAAAAATTATACTAAAACTCGTGTAAAATACCAAAATTAAGAAAACCACGGTGGCCGATCCTGAGTTCCTTCCCTTCGCTTTTTAAGACATAAATTCCTTATAATACCGCGCTGAATCTTGCCGGGTTTATTCGTATTTTCTCCTTCCCATCACAACTTCCTCACCACTAGGAGAGGTTTAATGAGAGACGACTGGGAAGGCTCTCGGGCTGAGCGGCGGCAGCACTATGCTTGGGGAAATTTTAGTTATATATAAATCGGAAATAACACCTTAGGTGTGAAAATTGACACCTCGCAAATCATTTTTCTGAAAGCTCAGGTCTCGCTTGATAGGCCTGTGTAATTTTTATTTTGCAAAATTCTTAATCATTTGAGAAATAAATTTTTCAAATGGAAGGGTTTATAGCAGATCTAATACCTTAATAAAGTTCATCATTATTCATTATCATGTTTCTTGTAGAATTAATCACCTCCTCATTTTTCTATCTAATCTCCAAGCAGGCGAGAGCTGAATGCCGCTGTAAGCGTGTTCAGTGTCATGATGGCTTGATTCCAGGCGGCACATTTCACGGCTGCACTTTCAACTTTACCGTCAATCTTCCAGGCAGCAGTTCCCAGCAAAACTGATTTAAGGATTAAACTGGACTTTTTCTTTGAATATCGTGTCAGATCCAAAAAAAACATGTAATTAGTGAAAATCATCGAACTTTTGAAGTCGTTCAGTTTCAGCAGCCCTAAGTTAATGGCTTGGACTTGTTTGATGAATTACAGTCAAACCTTCCGTAAGCGACCATCCAAAATGCAAAGACTGAGTGGTCGCTTACGGGAGGTAGTCGTAACAGGGGGCTTCTTCACTAGTTTTAAAAGTAAGAACTAGGCGAAATTATAGCTAAAAACATGGCAATAACAGCAAGAACACAACTCGAAGGGCGACATCGGCTATATATTTGGAGAATATTTACGGAGCTGAACAACCTTAAACGTGCACTATCGAAGGTGAACTTAACATCGATGGAGGTAAGCATGTTTTAGCTTTGTTTTTAAACTAGGAATTATTTTGAATGAATAATAAAACAATTATTGAATTCGGCTTTCGTATCATAATAAGAATTATGGAGATCTCGGAGGGTGTTATCCGCCTCGGCCCACGGCCTCGACGGATGGCACCCTCCTCGATCTCTATAATTCTTCATAAGATACTCAACCTCATTCATTAATTGTTAAATAACCAATAGTTGGTCGTTCTCCCTTTTCGATCAATTGGCGCTTGGAGGGAAATATTACCGCATGGCCTAAATTTCCATATGAGGCCTGAAGTTCATTTTAAGGATTGTCATAATATTTTTTTAAAGTTATTTGTCCTCATTAAACAAATCACTCCTACTGATGGCTATTTTACTGTCCAATTTCCCACTCATCCGAAGAACGCGACTGCAGCAACATTAATCAATGAATGTGTTACTGTTAATTTATATCGATAGTAATCCACGCAGTACCCTGGGTACCAGAGATTTTTTCTCGCGTGTGACGAGGAGCTTCGTCGGCCGCAGGCCGACACTTCTTCGGCCCGAAGACGAAACCGA